CGAACGTCACTGAATCTAAAAAAAAAATAAATGTATTTTTGAAGCAAAGAGGTCACAGTGTCACCTCCACATCTGAGGAATACATTAATACAGAACCCGATCTCAGCATTTACGATTTGCTCGGTGCTTTTCAAACATCAGTCAGGTTATTACACCCAGTGGTCAAACCATCATTGACTATGAAGTCGCTGAGGACAGTGACCTCAGCGTTTACCATCTGTGTAATGCATCACCACTGCCTTTTCTGTCAAACACTGAATTGTTATAAAATGGGCATAAATGTCAGCAGACATCTATGATCAGATTATTCACTGATGCGTGTCCCCCTCCCATCTGGGCTGAGAGTACTGCATTATGTATATGTCAAATAACCGTGTGTATTGGCAATTACTATGCAGCTATTTTACAGCAGCAGTTTTCGAGATTTGTCATAAGGTATTCTATTTGAATAACAGTTTCAGTTGTCACAAGTGCAATGCTGTTGTAATCTGTGTAATCCCCGTGATATATCTGCAAATCAGGACACAGCAATCACCCCATTCAACAGTGGAGACAATGGATAAGTTTTGAAATATGACTGACAACTGCTGAATTTGTTCCATTACAGCAGTGCAGGACAGGAAATACAGTATTTTGTTCGGAGCTCAGAGCCTGAGCACACATATTAAAGAAAAAAAAAAAACCTCTCAGCATTAATAATTTATCACATTTTATAAGGCAATTTAGCAGTCACTTGAAGTTGCTATGGTGACAGGGGGGTATTTTGAGACAACTAATGACCTATGCAAAACCCACTCACTGTAAACTTCACTCAAGCTAAATGAGATTGCTGTCTGTGCTGTGTGTGATACATGGCTGAGAACTTAATCCCCACGCTATGCTTGGCCTTTTTCTGCACAGGACAAATTAAGGTTCTTAATATCAATGTAAAACATCTGTGGGCTGTTTACTGTACAGGCAATATGAGCCAAGTAGCAACCGGCGGCCAGCGCTGTGCTGCATAATAGTCTTTTGTTTTGATTACTAATGCAGAATTCATAACAGTTGTCAGGTTAAGGTCAGAAAAAATCCAGCGAGTGAAAGGAAAATGAATACTCATGATACGGTTTGAATGTAACTCAATATGTTTCACACTAAATCCCCTTCAATATCTCTTTATTTTTCGGCTTACGTCAAAGATTCCACATTGGAAAAGCTTTGAAGACTTGCTCTGTTCTGAGGCGAATCATATTTGTCCAATAACCGCTTGGCCTGTTGCAGCTGTCGGGGCTGAGACAGAATGAGTCATGTGTTACCCATTTAAGTCCAATTTCTCCCATGCAAATGCCTGACATGTGTGACTCTGCAGGGTCCTGAGTTGAAACGGTATTTTTGAAACAAGGAGAGAGAATCAAGGCCAGAGCTGTGTGACCATTTAGCCACCTGCTTCACCCATGACCCGTAGTCCTTTAAGAAAGTTTATATTTGAGAAACAATTCACTTGTGTTGCCACTGATGTGGCTTTAATGCCGGCGCAGCTGCCATGAAATTAAATGAATAAACAAAGGAGGAATGGATTCTGTGGTTTCTCCTTAAAAGGAGCTCTCTTTTGGAAAATATGAGTTATATCCACTGAACTGTGGTAACTGTGTGAAAACATTTCCCTAAAAATAAGTTGACACACACACACACACACACACACACACACACACACACACCTCTTCAGTCTCTCCCCTTCCTTTCTGCATAGTGTAAGAAGCATTTTGACCATTAGCATAAATGGCAGGTTGACTAATAAAGGTGTGACTTTCAAGCTTTTTGCTCTCCTCCATCTGGAAGCTGTGGTGTTGAGTGCCACCTGTTGGGAAGCAATGGTAATGACATGGAGCTGGTGACAGCTGTATTACACAGGATTACAGAGGGTAATTTACAGTGTAACATAATAGCCAAGTTTACTTTGCCAGTCTTGAGAGAGATGTAGCTGTTGGTCACAAACTACTGATAAAAGCTGCACTGTGGCTTTCTACATTACAACTACTACGTGCCTTATGAAGGGCAGGTTGCAGCTTTGAATACAATGTATCCAATGTCTCTAATATTCTGCTGATGCCCACTAGGGCAGCACGATACGGTAAAAATAATCAAATTGTGATTATTCTTGCAAAAAACTGCAGCTCCTTGCAACATGAATATTGCAATTGCGATAATATTTCAATTAATAGTGTTAATGGACACTGCTCTTTTAGTATAACTATTCTAACGTCAGTGTTTCTCCTTGAATTGTCTTCTTCTCTGTGTAAAAACAAGCCCCTTTAAACAGTCTGCAGGCATGCAACATTTAAACTGTAACCGGAAACCTAAACAAATGAAAATCTCTGAGGGTTAGCAGATTTGTAAAGCAGGATGACTCAACACATCTACTAAACCACAGGGGAAACTCAAGGCAGACTTCACACCATGAGCTAATTCATAGAAATAATACATAGTATACACTATGATATATAATATGTATAATGTATATAATATAAGATGACATTGTTAGAAATACATTTATTTGTGCACATTTAACACTTGAAGTCATGGAATTAAAGCAGACACACTATATATGAACCATAGGTTAGTAATGCACCAATCCTACACACTGACTTGACACCAGTTATTATGTGGATCAGAGAGACATGACACATGATTTTTGCCACTGAGACAAGAAAATTGTGATCATGTAAAAGATATCTATCAAATTGTTAAAGAGAATGCAGAGAATGTCATAAAAACTCAACCTCAGTAACCTCAGACTCCACCCTGATGAAGGCATCAGACAAACATTCTTGCAACATGTTTTTGTTGTTTATTCTGATGGAATTGTGTTCACACTGCTCATGCACCTCTCTGTTAGACCTTCGTGGTGTGCCGTATGAATGTCAACACAACCCAGGTTTAAGTATCATTCTGAGAGATGATGGATGTATTTTTGCTTTAATTTAATTTTAGTTTTCAGTTCTTTTTTATATCTGATCATGGTCATCACCCTCTGTGGTTTGTAGGTGATTATAACCAGCAACATTTCAAACACTGATCTTACAGCTGATGCAGATTATTGCTCTATTTTATTCTATTCTGCATTACAAAGATTACAAAAGATTTTTTTGTGCTGACACAGCAAACGGCACAGCTCCTATGAGCTTTGTAGCAGTGCTGATTGAAGCAGCAGCATAGAGGGAATCACTGTTCTGTGATCAGTGACCAGAGCCCCTCGGCCATCTCTGTCATCATTTTCTCCGCACAGCCAAGAGATGAGTCTTGAAGTCTCGTGCCCCCACCCCTCACTCAGACTGGGTAACACCAGGCCGGGGTATGATGTTAGATGGCCTTTCTGTCTCAGTCAACAGAGGAGAGTTTGTTTCCCGTTATGACTGACTGACTGTCTCGCACTCTGGCAGAATAAGTTGTTGTAGTCAAGAGGGAAAACTCTTGGTTAAAATTGGTTTGATTTTTGTTTCATTGCCACTTTTTTGTTTATAGTTTATTCTAGACTTCAATAGCTTGGAAACCAGGAAACATGATAAACACCAGGGACATGTTTCACAAATGCACCAGTGGTTTCTTTAAAAAACTCAACCCGCAATGTTTTTTGACGCAGGATGTAACAGAACTTTTTTTTCCCCTGCATGCAGCTGGATATTCTCTACTCTACCTTTTTCACTGTCTGAAATTCTCATTGTTATTTCACGTGATGCAAACCGAGGCATGATGATTGACAATTTGGAACAAAGACAGGAAAAGTCTGTCTCTTTTCCAAGGTTACAGGCCCTCTTCTACTGTTTCCTCTCTCTTGCACTGGCTTGCCAGATTGATTTGAATAGAAATCTACCCAGCATGCAGCCAAGTAGGGCAAAATGACGTGTGTGTGTGCGTGTGTGT